CATACAGTTGAATCTCAGAACAAATAAGCACAAATAAGCCTGTCATGTTGAGACATAAATGGTGGAAAATCTTAGACTATTTTTATGTTATATTCTCATATTTCTCAAGTCATTTACTGCAACATTTACTTAATTGTACATTGAAGTACATCAGTGGGCCCTCATCCTACAGGAATAGAAAACCAAAAACAACATGTTTTCTTTTACTTGGAGATAGAGAAAGATGGATATTTGGCTATTGGAAGCCCTAAGAGAGTATTGTCATTCAACTTCAAGAAACTGAGACTGAGTGAAAAGCAGGGCACATAAATGAACTTGTCCCTTTCGGTCTGGTCCCCTTCCTGTGTTTGTAAATAGCATACACTATGACCCACTTCTCAGACTTCGCCCAATAGCTTTATGAAATCTGTCACATGGTTCATAGGATATCTTACAGCTACACACATACATTACTAGGTACATTACCCAACCCTGTCAACAAGTGTATTTTTTAGCCAGATAGGTATTTCATGACACACATTCAAGATACACTAATCTCAGTCAGTATCATTTAGCACCAATAGATGGCACCATGCTAATGGATGAAGGAAAATAAATGTATGTTACCTTGATCCAAAACTTCAGCAGCACAGATTAATATAGAACTCTTACCATTCCATGATTTGGTATTCTACTGAGAATGGTTCTAAGAATGGAACCGGTATTTATGATGTCACTCACTATTGTAAATAGATACATTCTAATTCTATGGTCAGTCTTATTTTCATGTATATGAAATATTGTTGATAGAAATGTAATCTGAAGGAGGACTAGCAGTATGAAAAGTGTTATGAAAAGTAATAACATCTCTGGTGCTTGAAAATAATTAAACGTACCTAATAAAGCACACATTTCCATCAAAGCTGTGCTCTGACATTTACCATGGCCTTTGTAGATTTAGTTTGTTAGACAACTGAATCTGGTGTCAATAAATGTAAGGGTATAGTTTAGCTAGCCAATTAGACAGAACCAACTTCACTTCAGTGCCTGAATTTCACATAGACCATATGCAGATGTATGCAGGTAGTGAAGACAGGCAGACATACTGACCTAATTGAGCGAGGCCCACTGCACCTTGGGGACCTTTGAATAGGCTGGATAGATTACACTTGATGATCTGCAGAGAGAGAGAGCGAGAGACACAGACAGACAGACAGAGAGAGTGGGGTGAGAGAGAGAGAGAGAGAGAGAGAGAGAGAGAGAGAGAGAGAGAGAGCGAGAGGGGTGTGGGGGGGGGGGGTGGGGGGGGTCATTGCGTTCATTCAGCTCACAGGTTTATTGGGTTGTCCACAGACAGAGACCAAGCTAGACAGATCCCCCAGGTCAGTGTGTCTGTCAATGGGATCCTGTTTCTGGTCCCCAGGAGGACATCACATCACAAGGGCCTCTTGTTTACCTGTGTTCAGTCTGTCATCCTCCCCTGTAAAAAGAGCTCTGCTCTACTTGAGGGGTGATGATTCCTCTGTATCAGCCAGACAACCAGTTGATTATAAACACACATACCTGCATTTCATTCACTGGTGTTTTAACTAACCTATTCATTTAGCTTATTATGGGTTTATTCTACTGATACACTTTGATTATACTTATTGTTTCATTCAAGAAAACCCTCTAGTAGCTGACAATGTCAAACACTAACAATCATACTGGGCTATCTACTGCTGCGATACTAGCACATTGGCCAAGTGCTGAGGCTGGATTGCTGGACACATCGGCTGCATTTAGACAGGCAGCCCAATGATGATATTTTTTCACTAATTGGTCTTTTGACCAATCACATCAGCTCTGAAAAAATATCTGATGTGAAAAAAACAATTTGTGGGAAAAATATCAGAATTGGTCTGCCTGTGTGAACGCAGCCACCCGTGTTCACGTCCTTGTTAGCAGGACGTCCGTTCTGTCCGGTCCAGCTTTCCTACCCCCAAACCTGCGCCAGCTGACAGTGTCTGCTACAGCCTCTCTGTTTCCTTCCTCTGGTCTGGTGTTACTGCCCCAATTGGTCACCAGGTACAGAGGCGTCATTATATGTTAAATAAGACCCCAAGTGACTAATTATCTAATCATCTGATGATACTCACAAAGGATTTCTGTACAATTCTCATTTATTTTCTTGGCAAGTCTTCTATCTTTGTTTTGGATTGTTTTGGTATTGTAATTCATTTCAAGAATAGCCAAATTAGCCATATAGCCTATTCAAGGGATGAGTTATAGTTTGTTGGACATCATGTTTAGGAAAACAGGCAAGGAAGGGCATAAACATGTCGTTATGTTTATTCAAGTCCTGAATGGATGTGGTTTTGTCCTCAATACAACCCTGTCATACAGTCTAAAGATCAAATTCAAAGAGCTCTTTATTGTATAAATGTTTGTGGAACTACTTCAAAGGTACTTGACTGAGTATCAATAATCATTTTAGTTGGAGAAGTTGCATAATGTGTCTAATGGTACTATGATTTACAGGAACATGTAAGGGCTCGGTTGTGAGAGAAGTTGGATACTGTGCCATTGCTTACCAATGTGATTGTGGAAAAAGAAACAACCCTGTCGATACAGAAGAACATCGTCAATGAAAATAGTAATTTGCTGTATATTGTAAAGATGTAATGCTTCGTTCATAGTGTGTCACTAAGGAGTGATGTCATCAGCATGGGGCCAGAGGGGATCAGGCACCAAACTGTTTTCATTAGTTACGGCCCAACACTTTTAGTGTGAGCCAATGACCTAAACACTCTTTGAACACAATGAGAGTTTAACAGAGCCAGTTGGTAATTTGCAGAGAGACATGACATGGTTAAATAGCCTAAAGCGTTTATTTCCTATAGATTATTGAGTCTGAGTCAGAGATGTCAGACTGGTACTTTGACAATCACGGTACCTTTTTCTCTTACCACACAGGATATACGTAGGCAACAGCTAGACTATGTTTACTGTACACTGCAATTCAGAAACTTTGTGATGTCTGGAGACTTTAGATCTGACCACCTCTGTGACACACAAAAAAATATGCTTTGTTTTTCTTTTTTTCCCCCTGGCTTCTGAAGTTTAATCTGAGTGCAGGGCAGGGAGGCAGACTGTTCTTTGGGTCTATTTAAAGTCACTCCGAATGCTCCCTCTGCTAACCTGTCTGGGCCTGTTACACTGCTCCTCTCATTTAGTCTCTCTCTCTCTCTCTCTCTCTCTCTCTCTCTCTCTCTCTCTCTCTCTCTCTCTCTCTCTCACACTCTCTCTCTCTCTCTCTCTCTCTCTCTCTCTCTCTCTCTCTCGCTCTCTCTCTCTCTCTCTCTCATTACAGTTATTCCTCCACAATAGGAGACACTCCTTACCCCACTCTCCATTTCCTCAATTAAGCACACATGGAGGTATGGTCAAACCACAAAATCTCTCTTTTACCTGCTAGTTGTTCGATTTCCCTTTTCCTTATAACATGACTTTTCACTGAAGTGATATCCTGTTGAGGTTTGAAGGAAAGCACAAGGAAACGCGATTAATAACCACTGATCATATGCATCTGCTTTATGTTTATACAACACATTTATAATACATTATACACACACATATCATCGCTGTCTGATGAAAACCTCTTATCTCCAAAACAGAAACTTTTCAGTAAATGAAACAAACATACAATTATGAAACCTCAGAAGCTATTTTGAATACATTTTCTTGGTCCTAGTGAATTGATATGTTGAGAGTACATTGAATAAATGTAAAAACATTTAAATTGGCAAAAATGGAGTTACAAGGTTTTCATCAGACAACGACGACATGTCATTTCAAATGACAAAAACAAACAACAGAAGCGCTCCAAATAGAAAGGAGAGTAATGTTGACGAGTGCGGATGACGGCACTCTCCGGGTGAAACGAATGGCAGAGGAAAAGTGCAGAGGAAAGTGCAATGTTCAGCATTCACACATGGTTCTAGTTAGAGGTCCACGCAGTGGCCTCCCATTAAGTCAAATGTGGTTTGGAGGAGACTAATTTTCACAGTTTAAAAAGGTTTTAAGATATTTTTCTCACCCCAGGAAGTTTACTTTGAGTCATTGTGTAGATGTGTGTAGATAGATTTCATTGTGGTCAATGTATGTGGGAAGGACTTGTTTTTTTCCTACATGGAATCGTCTCAATGCACTCTGGGGATTATTAGTCAATGTATAGATCTTCATGAATGAGAGAGACTAATGGGGGATGGGGAATGGTTATGGTGCCTGGATGTCTGGCATTTCAAGTTCACTGGGGGAGAAAAAATAACCTTTTGTTTTGCTCACTTTACCATGGTTAAAGCCAAGGGGTCATTAAACATACTAAGCATTTTTACACACACTTAAATTCACGGAAAAGTAAAAACCAGAAGACAATATCTCCGCTGTTGTGCAGATCTTGAGAGATAAAGAAACGGCAGTTAGTCATTGGTGTAGTTCTTATCAGGAGTCAAAACTACAAAAATCTCACCTAATGATGTGCTATGTAATCATAAGGTGAGAGGAATACACTGGTGCTACAAGTCAAACCAAACAATGACTTTTGTTTGCAGCCAGTTAAACTGTTCCGTCACAGCTGATCACAGCTCTGAGTACAGTGGGTCACCAAGAGCCCGTTGACTTTGGCACCAGTTGAAAGAGCTGTGTGATAGCACAAATGTATCGCCTGAGGGTGGGCGTCTAATTGTTGCCTTAATGTCAACCTTCGCAGCTGCAGTACTGCTGTAATAACATAGCAGAAGATGACAGACATCAAGCAGATGTAAAAAATATATACAAAAAATAAAGAATGTAAAAAGTCATTTGTAATATAAGAATTCAACACAGTATAGAAAACCCATTTGTGTCTCATCTCATTTTGGCTTTGTAAAAAAATACAAATAACTTGCCAATAATTTATTGAAATACACAATATAAAACAATAATGCTGATTATATATAGAACATGTTGTACATGAGCTACAGCTATAAGTGGTGTGTTTCTCATACTTGCCTCTCCTCAAAGAGGATCTGGGCGTACACGGTGCTTGTGCACGAGGCTTTGTTGTCCGGCAGAGGCTTGACCAGCTCCAGCTCTGCATATGTCAGGCTCTCCTCTGTAATCTTCGGCTACAGGGGAGAAAGATGAAACGTGTGAAGAAGCAGACTTGTCAATCGAGTTATTCATGTTGTGTCTATTACAATATGATACTGGACAATAATTACCTCGGGATAACAGTCACATATACACAAAAATCGAACTAAGTAAAACTTAAAGTAAAACAACTTAAAGGAAAATGCTAGATTTCTGGACAGCCCTCTACAGAAATACTGTAGCTGTTGCCTAACAAATTGTATGTAAGAATCAGGAGTTACCCCAGAACACTTACCAAGACCACTTTCATCGGCTGTACCTTTAAAAGTTTGGGTTTTGGGATTTTGTCTGCTATGGGTGCTGTGGAAGAATACAATGATCATTTACTGTATGCAGCGAGGGAACACATTGTCTGTGTAACAAAAAACATATTCCCCCTCAAACCCAAACCCAGAACGAAAATGTTCTCCGTCTGCAATGTTTACATGCCCGTCCTGTCATTGATTAGTGATGATTTGGACGCAGACGTCAAAGCAGAGTTGAACAGACATACAATGTTTGACACATTCAGACTACTACAACATGACATGAACTCCTTGTGAGACAGATGCAACACTTTAAAACTGCCGAACATCAGCCTATTAATCTCAAGGGTGAACCAAAATATCACCATCAAGAACAAACGTTACTTTCTTAAAATCAGCTGTCTTACATGATTAGTTGACCATAAACTTGGCACTATTTCTGGTAACACACTGATATCACAAAGAGTTGAAAAGAAAAGTTGCTTTGCTCTTTTTCCGGTTGATCTATTCCAGCACGTACAGTATAGTAGATCCATATATGGACTCAAAAGGTAGTAGCAAGTAAAGCAATGTTCCTCAGATAATTCACATCTCTAGCATCAGGAAGCACACCGTTTTCAGTACACCTTTATGCTCTGATGATCACTTTAACCACATTCCCTCCCCCAGACCATATACCCAAATGTGGATATGAAGATAGGCTTGTAAGAAAACATACATGCTTGGGTAGGGGAAATTGTGGTACAGATGTATGATGTTGTTGAGAGTCTGTCTGTTTACCTTTAACTGGTATTTCTGGTGGTATCTCCGACTGCGTTTTGCTCCGTTTCTTCCTGTACCTCCTCTGCTTTTTGGGCAGGGCAGAAGACACACTGACTAGACTGGTCACCATCTCCCCTGAACTGCAGACAGCAGACAGGCATGTTCACAGCAGAATTAAAGCAGGGAAATGTAAGTATCCATCGCAGTCATGGAAGAAAAGAGTCTGTGTGTACCATAGTGGATGAAGTATAAGTCACAGTTACTTTAGTTTGAATGATGAAGGTTACCTGTTCTGTAGGCTCTTGACCAAATGGTAGTTGTCTATGAGGCAATGAGACAAAGCATTAGTGCAGGATGGGCAAAAAACATTGTACCATGTCATCAAAAAGCGTGCCTTGGCTTTACATCTCAGAGTCCATTAGCTTTAAATGATCTGTTAATGTGGCCCAGATTAGTGTTTCAGTGTTGAATGGAAAGAGGGGGGATAGGGTGTTACTCACCTTTTAACTTCTTCTTCCTCTGAACATATTGGCAGGTCACCGCCACGGTGAACATGCACATGCACAACAGTCCAACAGAGCAGATCAGCACAGCGCACAGGTACACGTCTGAAACACACAAAACCAACCAGATTAGTCACAGTCATAGTATCGTACAACTCTGAAGACTCGTGTTTCAGTTGTCAGTCACTTATGCAGAAATATTTAGGACATATTTATTGTTGTTGCGTTATTTTAGTCACGTACAATGCAGAGAACAAGAGAGTTGCGTTCTTACCTTCAAACAGTCTCCACAGACTCTTCTTGGCCGTGGTCGCTGGTAGGACATGCACTGAAAGGAAACCAGGGAAAGTCCATGGTCATCAGTGTGTCTACCATTCTGCCTGATTATACAGTTGAAATACATCTAATTGTAGGTGGCTCGGCGTAGGATGACAGCATTGAGGTTATCCTTTCCTCAGGATCCTCTTCCTGAATCACTGGCTAGTGGTAGCTAACACCCACCGAGCCGTCCTGAAATACCCCAAACCGCCAGCAGCTGACGACAGCCTCTCTCACCCATAGCAGCCATACTTAGCTTAGCTAGCCGCCAGAGCTCCAGGGTTACTGGGCTGGAGCCTGTCTCCGTGTACTGCACGTTAGCCTGTCCAAAGGGCTTAAACTGGGTCTGTTCCAATCCAGGATCCTTGGGACTACCCCGTTGAAGTTGAAATGTAAAATTAAGGTAAGGGTTAAGGTTAGGGTTAGGTAAGGGTTAAGGTTAGGGTTAGGTAAGGGTTACGGTTATGGTCAGGTTTAGGGTAGGGATGTCCCAAGGATCCCGGATAGCACTGACCCTTAAACTGGGGTTACCTCTAGAGCATATCCCTCGATGCTAAACCAGCAGCACTTGCTTTGACTCTGCCGACCATATTTATGGCCTACATTCAACTATTTGGAAACCTTAGTCTGAGGTAGATGACAGCGAGCTATGAGTCTTGGCTCGGTATTTGCTCTAGTTGTGTTTGCCAAGTATATACTTTTCTTGCCATACATTCTTTACTGTAATTTCTATAGCTTGTTCCTATCTAGGTGAAGCTACACTCGATCATGTTTTTTTGGTTCCCAAGTCTGATTGAGGAGTCCCGAATCTACTTCAAAGCTGTTTTTGCTTTTAGAGAGTGATCATCAGAGAGCAAGTGTACAAAATCATGGTACAGAAAGACTCTTCTTTGCCATGAATCATATAGTATGACTTCAATAGGACATTATGAATATGCACAGAGCCAAAAGGCCAGCTGCACATGCTGGAATAATATGAGTAATCTGAATCTGCAGCACTGAATGGAGCCAAAGAAGTGTCTGTCACTGTTCAATTGATTCCATTCATATATACTCTCCCTTGCTTTTTGATAGGAAGTCTCTCATTATATCCTCACACAGTGATGGTACACAGATCGAATGAATAGCGTCCCTAAGACAGATCTGCATTCTGTTTAATAAGGGATAAATACTGTCTTCCGCAATCAATAGACCAATTCAATGGGTCACTTTGGGCTACGTCAGAGCAGTCATCAAACGTAAAGAAAAAAATAAGAAATGAATACCAGTATGCAGTGATGATCCAGACAAAAGTCCTCATCACAAAAACCTCCAAAACATCCTTTCCTTTAACATCCTCTTTCTTCACTTTTCTCTACCCTCTATGCATCACCCTCTTTCTCCATGTGAGGCCCCTGAAACATTAAGGGTGGCCTCATTCCTGGAGCTCTGTTTTTAGTCTTGCCCATACTAAACCCTAGAGTCCTAGAATATCCTAACGCTGCAGACGGTGCCGACCACATTCGTTTCACCACAGTTCTACGTACCTCTTTAAAAAGTCACACTTTCTATTCTCCCAGCCCACACACGATGTCCAAATATCTCAGTGTTAAAAAGGCTGCATTGTTTACTACTACTTCACACTGTTTTCAGTTTGTTTCCCCTAACCCATCAAACCCTGTGAACTTTTGGTTTGTATACTATAGCCTACCATATTGCCGGATTTCGGGAAGAGTAGGATGTCTGGCGTAAGACCAAAGGAATTCCTGTAGTGTTGACACATCAGGTGGCCAGGTGTTGAGCCTACGTGAAACCGTCGTCAGTTTACTAACCAGTGGAGGCTGCTGAGGGGAGGACAGCTCATAACAATGGCCGGAACGGAGCAAATGGAATGGCATTTAACACCTGGAAACCATGTGTTTGATGTATTGATAACATTCCACTGATTTCGCTCCAGCTGTTACCACGAGGCCGTCCTTCCCAATTAAGGTGCAAACAACCTCCTGTGGTACTAGCTTAGCAATATTAGCTTCCTCCCTGAGTACATCTCAGGGTAACTGACCATACCACGGCTCGAACCCAGGGCCCCCTGCCTCGCAACAAAATATTTTTTTGTTGTTGCTAGGTAGCGTTAGCTAGCCCTAAGCAACTGTACCTGAGCCAAAACGCCAGTATCTTTCATCGTATAGCTTGTTCTCCATCTTCTTTTTAAATAGTGAGCCAACAGGTTTTCAGCACATTTATTTCCATGACTGATCAAACACATTTTCTCATGCTCTCTCGTCTCTCTGCAGCAGACAAATAGTGAGCAATATGTTTGGAACATCAAATCGCAATAAAATCGCAGTATCGAATCGCAACACATACAGAATGGGGAGCATGGGGAAAATCACGATACATATTGTATCAGTATCGTGGTCCCTGGAAATTCCCAGCCCTAATATGAGCCAGTTGAGCTATAGAAAATATAATCAAATCAAATTAGATTTGCCACATACGCTGGATACAACAGGTGTAGACCTTACAGTGAAATGCTTACTTACAAGCCCTTAACCAACAATGCAGTTTTAAGAAAAATAAGTGTTAAGTAAAAAATAGATCAGTAAAAAATAAAAATAACAAATAACTAAAGAGCAGCAGTAAAATAAAATAACAGTAGGGAGGCTATATACAGGGGGTACTGGTACAGACACAATGTGCGGGGGCACAGGTTAGTTGAGGTAGTTGAGGTAATATGTACATGTGGGTAGAGTTAAAGTGACTATGCATAGATAATAAACAGAGAGTAGCAGCAGCGTAAAAGGATTGCACCGTTGGGATCGCACTGTTGGCGACATTTCAAGCTAGCTGTGGAGAGAAAAAATCTGTCGATGTGCCCTTGAGCAAGACACTTAACCATAATTGCTCCTGTAAGTCGCTCTGGATAAGAGCATCTGCTAAATTACCAAAATGTAAATGCAAAATGAGTCTATAGAAATTATCTCACTTACATACGCACTACTATGCAGTTGTCTAGTCAACCAACCCCCAGGACACCATAGACGCTCTGACGTTGGGGAGTCTCATTCTACATCTCTTGTTCTCTCAATATCGAGTTCACTCACTTCTAGCCACGATGATATGTGTGTATAATACGTAGGGGAGGGAAACTCCTGGTTGTAGCCAAAGTCAATATGTGTTTGGTGGTGATGGTGCCAGTGTTCCCTTACCTCTGATGTTCCGCTAGTCTGTCTACTCGGGCTCAGACTGGACAGTCAAATGTCACAGCCGGCACAAATGATTTCATGGAATAAAATGGTTAAGTCTAATAACTTAGAAAGGGAGAATACATCTGCTTTGCTACAGTGTATGCTGCTTAGATCCTTTCACAGAATGTTGTGCATCGAACTGGCAGAACTGAAGGGCTGACATCAGCTTCAGAGAATAAAATATACTCTATCTTGTCGTGCCAGCATAAGAAAGCCCTCTAACCACTAGCAGCCATGAAACGTATCGCAATGAAGTATCACTTATTTTCAAGCTTGTTCAAAACCATGGAACTCCCTTCCACAATGAAAAACAGGACCTTTCATTAAACATGACACAATCTCCTCCTTCTCATGATCGATGGAACCCGAAAATAGGTCAGCCAGTTGTGGTTCTGGCTAACATTGGACTGTACTCCTACTCCTACTACTACTACTTCTAATGTTACCACTGTAGGACACTACAACTGCTACTACTACTCCTACTACTACTACTACTACTACTACTACTACTACTACTACACTACTGCTGCTAATACTACTACTACTACTAACGCTGGCTGAACACTACTAAGTACTATACTACTACTACTATACGACTACTACTACTACTACTACTCGCTAATGCTACTCCTACTCCTACTACTACTACTTCTAAATAGTTACCACTTGTAGGACACTACAACTGCTACTTATACTACTACTACTACTACTACTACTACTACTACCTATTACTAACTACTGACTACTACTACTACTGCTTGATACTACTACTAACTACTACTACTACTAAGCTACTAACTACTACTAACTGCTTGGATAACGACTGATTACTACTGCTACCTACTACTACTTAATGTTAACACTGTAACTACCACTACCTACTGCTACTACTACTACTACTGCCACTAACTGCCGGCTGATAACTGCTACTATTACTACAACTACTACTATTATACTACTACTACTACTACTAACGATACTACTACTACTACTAACTACTGACTATACTAATACTACTACTACTACTACTACTAACTACTACACTCCTGCTTTATACTGCTTTCGACTACTGCTGCTGAATTACTCTTT